AGATTATTGACAAGAAAGTAAATCAGGTACACGTGGGGGCACTTTTGTGCTGTCAGTGGTATTGGGAGTAAGATTTTCCTCTATCTGTTTTGGTTAGAAGTGATGAAAGTTCTGTCCTTCCAAAACAAGCAGAAATACGGCATTTATTGTAAAAAAAGCTGCTGTTGCTTTGTTATTTCAGGAAGTTTTCTTAACTGTTTTTTAAGTCACTAGGCAGAATGAGGAATAAAGGGTATTGCTAATTGCACATCATTGTTGTTGTACTCTATTATGTTCCCTTTTTTATTTCTTTGAGCTAAAAGTTATGACAGTATCTCTGTAGTGTCCTTTAGAGTAATGGAATTTCTGGGAGAGTGGTGTTTTTGCTTCTTTGAGTTCTCTTTAGGAAGTAATGACAATAAAAATCTTTTCCTTGTCCCCAGAAACCGAGTGACTCATTTATCCAGATGGGTACAATATGAATTGTGTCTGAGAACCAGGGACTGGAATGCAAAGAGTTTGGTATTGTTTGTAATGTGGTTGAAAAGCTGTTCATATAAAACAGCAGCAGAAGTTTCTTTTAAATCCATAGAGTTCCCTACATCAGCTTGCGGAGACACTTTCCATCTGGGAAGAAGATGTTGCGTAGGGGAAAATTTCTGAATTTTTTACTGCTACAGATAGTGAATTGTGTCAGCTAGGAGCTCATGTTTCTATATGGTATAAGAACTGTTACTGAATCAAATCATTTTTAGAGGCTTAAGCACCGAGAGAAGGCCCTCCTCCCTGTGCATCTTTTCTTTTGTGCTGCCTTAAATAAGTGCCAAGTGCAAAACTGGTATTTTGTTATCAGTTGAGCTGTCCAGGAAGTTTCTTCCATCCTTCCTCTAGGTCCTTGAAGCATTGCTACTTAGAGTTGATATTGTGTCATTTCTGGCACTGCTTTCCGCCATTCACATACTGGTTTGGGGTTAATTACACTGAGCTCTTCTTACTTTGTACAGAACAGGTATTTGAAAATGAGACAGTCCTTCCCCAGACCCCCAGAAGACACTGTTTGCACAGTACTGTAAGAAAGGGCGAGGAGCCAGGGGCCATCCCTGAGCAATACCACTGGCACTGCTTTCGCTGGGATTTTCGGGGCCCTCCCTTTTACAGTCTGCAAACCCTAGGCGTATTCTTGTGGAGGTGGAGGTGCCTCTAGAAATGTCACCTGCAGAGAGGACTGTATAGCATGTAGGAACTATAGATCCCCATGTCACCTGCTGGAAACCACTGGTCTATATTGCCTGATCTGAATGTACTTACCCCTTGCCTTTCCCAAGCTCCCACTTTAGAGTTTACCTATAGAAAATCTAGCAGGGTTATTGAATTAAGAGATACCTGCTTTTGAGCATCTTCCTTTAGCTCATACATTTGTGTGATTTTAAAATGTAATTAATTTACGGTTGTTTCTTACTGCCTGAATAGATTTTTCACTAACCTGGAGAGGAATTGGCTATTTATGTTCTGAAAATGATCATTACTGCTAAAGTACTACCGAAAGTACCATGCTGATGTTCCTTTATATGTTAACTCTTAAAAACTCATTCCTGAACTAAGTCTCTGATGCAAAAGCTCATCCCCTCACTTAGCATTCCCCACGTAATTACTGTCTTGTCCCTCCACCAGGCTTCCTTGCATGGATTCTCCTGGTGGCCCAGGCTAAATAATTCATGGCCCTAATTCTTACAGCTTCCCACATTTTACTCCTTTATATCTCTGCCACAGCCTCCTTTTTCTCTCTACCTTACAGGGATCCTATTAGGCTGAATACATTTATTTGGGTGGCCTCTCCTTGCCTTTCTCCCGGGTGTTCTTATGTGACCACTAAACCCAGAAATCCTTGCCTAACGTTTGCCTGTACTGAGAATGACATCCTCCCTTTCCTTTAATGCTTTTCCTAGAAATTCACACGGAGGTTTTGAAACAGTGACTGAGGGGGGATGGTTTTGGATGCCCCGGGTGCTGTAGCCGGCGGTGCAGGCAAGCGCAACAACTGAGCAGGTCACGCGAGGAGCGTTTCACGTGTGCTTGCTTGTTTTGGCGTGCCTCACGTCGGGCCATATCTCTTATCTCTTTGCAGACTCGCTTTGTGCTGCTGTTGGCCTTTGTCACCCATTCCCAGTCTCACGGCTGTCTGGTGCACCCGCTTTTTCCCCTTTGCTTTCGAGCAGATTTCAAAAGGGCTGGTTTGTCTGTGCATGATGAAGTTAAGTCCTTGAGCCGTCTTTCGGGTAGTCCTCCCACGTGGGGCAGAGATTTGCCTCACACAACAGCAGAATAAGCATTGCAGCAGCTAGTCTTCGGGCTGTAAATTAACTTCATGGACCAGGTCATACTGCGCTTTGAAGTTGTTGCTTTTTCATTTGTGTGCTTCCCCCATTTAGTCTTCAAGAATATAAATCTTCAGGAAGCATTATCATGGTTTAAAAGGCTTAGACAAATAGCAGCTGGTATTGGTTCGTCGTCTCCAATTGGTTCCAGACATCCCTGGTTTTGATAAGACTACAAGACAATTCCAGAAATTCCCTGCCTACAGCTTTTGCTAATGCCATTAAATGTAACGTTGTGATTACCGATGCTTTTGGAGCTGATTAGCTAGCATCCTGCGTGACTGATAAACACCCTAATTTAATTATTTCTTCAGAATGTCCTCATGTTGTACCCCACTCCCCCTCCTTAGATTATCTTTATTTTAAAATACAACTTAGTAGAAATGTTTAATGGGGATTTTGAAGAAGGCCTCAGAAACACAAGGATGCCTGTGTTCAGCTCGTGCTCAACGGGGACAGGATGCTCCACTCCAGCAGCGCCCAGAACAAGCTTTGCTCTGTGTCCGAGCTATTCAAAGTTGGCTTGGCTCTGTACCCATGGAGGTGTCATCCCAAAGGGAAAGACTTCACCTGAGCTTGTAGCTTTTGGCTTTGTGAAAAACTGACATCCGTGTTTTCATTCTGCTTGGGTGTCGACACAGAGAAAGAGCTTGTCACAAAACCTCCTATTGGAGTCGTCCCATGCGTAAAGTACTGGCAAGCAGAAAAATGCTCTGTGAGGAGTGTCTGAGAGCACAAAGAATGCAAAGCAAAGGGCAGTGATCAAATGAACCCAAGAAAAAAATGATTATTTTTTCCGGGGCACAAAGGATGCATGTTTTGAATGTCTGTGGTGAGAGATTAGATGAGGCGTCTTCGTTACGTGTATATCTCTGTCCTTTTTCTCTGGACTTTTGTGAATTGCTCTCATGATAAGCTTTTGTAAATTCTAACTTTTGCTTTTAATAGTCATTCCTTGAAAGTTTTTTTTTAAGTGTACTGTAAATTATAATTTTGCATTTGCAGATGTGCGAGATGGTGTATTGTCTTCCCTTTATTCACTCTCTCTGCCAAATAAGATTAACTTTTACTTCCAAAATTATAGCCATAACTGATGCCACAGTTTGTGAGCGCGCTTGTAAGGAAGCCAGAATAGGTAATGTCTCAGTTGTAGTACAAGCCTCAGCACCGTTTCTTAACAGGGCCTTTTTCACCCTTTTATTGCTCACTTCTTCATTCTTGAAAGTAAGAGGCAAGATTCTTATTTAGTTCTTGTGATATTTGGCAGCATCATAAGGAAACTGGACTGATTTTGCTTCTAGGTGAGCCTGCAGGTCATACTTCACCTGAGATTTTTATTGTATTTATCAGCCTGTTTTCTGAGGTGCTTGTCCCAGCCTTGGCTAATCTCAGCGTACAGTGATAATATCCTGTACGCGCAGGGACAGGCAGGGCGTGCCAGCGAAAGGTATGAAGTCAATGCACGTTAGAGAAAACGCGATGAACTTTCTCCGCAGCCCTAAACCACCTGTTGAACAACAAACATGCAGTGATTGGAGCTCACATTGGAAGATCAGCATTGTCAGGGGATTTTAACAATCTTCAGTACATGAACTTAGAGTACATTAACCTGACGGACATGCCTTTTCTGCTTTCCCATGTGTGAATGTGCCTACTCTATTAAACACAGCTGCCTTTTTATTTGTACTATTTATCGGTATTAATGTGTGTTGTACACTGTAGGGCAGATTTTAGCTGCAGCTACCAATCTGTAAGTTGGGGAAATGAAAAGCCAAATTTGACTTTTGTGCATTGCATAAGAATACGTGTTTGTATAGATGAGCGTGTATCTACACAGACACTTAAAATCTGTCACCTGAGTCCTGAGTTGGAACTTTATTTGTCTAGTAAAGATTTTAATCTCTTCACTTCCCTAATTTTACATTGAAACTGGATTAAGCTGTCTGTTACATCTGCATGTACCTGTGTAAGATATGTTTAAAAATTGCATGAAGGATATGTATACATTCTTGCTTTTGGTCCAGTGATTTGTATTGGGCATATATAGCTCATTTTTGCAGTTTGCTTGAGCGTAAGCATGTCTTAACCTATCAGTCAGACAAAGAACCGCATATACTTGCGTTGCCAATATTGTCTCCTGTTTACAGATAGAGGCCATAGGATGATAGTAAAGAATGAGCAGGACCTATCAGCGTAGCTACTTCACTTTGCATAGTGCATTAGTGTAGCTATGCAGCTTTGCTTTCGGCCAGCAAGCTATACAACCTAAGCTCATAAAAATGAAGGAAATAAAATTAATCTCTGAAAAAGAGAGAGAGAGAGAGAAAGGGAGGAGGGAAGCCTTCGTGAACCACAGGGTTGTGTTTTTATGTAACTGCTTTTGTGGCTATCAACTACCCGAAGTTCATGGTATGTTCATCTTGTCAGTATGCATTTAAGACCACCAGCTTTGTTTTATTTCAAGCCATCTTTTGGGTTGATGTAACACAATATGACTGAATGTGTTTTGGCAGGGAATAACTAATCTAATCCATATACTACCAGATGAAAGTAATTTACTATGGGTTTGTGGAAGAGCTTGAATTTTCAGTGCAGCCCACAAAGACATTTTTCCCCTTTTAATTGTCTCTTTTTATATCTAAACAGATCCAGCAATGGGAACAGAACCTGGAAAAATTTAACATGGACCTTTTCCGAATGCGGTGTTACCTAGCCAGTTTGCAAGGTGGGGAGCTCCCAAACCCAAAGAGCCTTTTGGCTGCTGCCAGTCGTCCTTCAAAATTGGCACTGGGGCGGCTCGGCATTTTCTCCGTCTCATCCTTCCATGCACTGGTAAGTCCGAATGCACTTTTCATGGGTGCATTACACAAAGCCATCATTAATATTGTACTTAGATGTGGAATTGTGCTGGGATAATACATGGCTGCACCTACATGCATTGGCTCAGAAAGCGCTGTTCCCTTCTCACCCTTTCTGCCTGTTCCTTGACTGCAAAAAAAATTTTCTTCCACAGACACAGAGTTTGAAACGGTGAGGATATGGCCATGACTTTTTTTTGGCCCCTAAGGACACCAGAATTGGGTACTTCTGACCTATATCTAAAAAAGAAACAAACCGAAATATTCTTCAGATGTAGATGAGTCATTGTGTTGACATTTTGTCACTGCGATTTCACCTCCACTGAGTTCAGAGTTTAAAGTCTATAGGAGCTAAGTCACTTAGAGCAAAAAGAGCCTAACAGTGAAATTTCCAAAAGTGACTCAGGTCCCTCTGGGCTGAGCTGGTCTTTCTTGGAGGTCTCAGATGGCTCTCTTTTTCATAAACAGTTTGATACCCTCCTGAAGAGGAGGTATTTTCAGAATAGGCTAAAACTAGAGAGAATCCAAAATTACAAGTCACTTTTTAAGAACTCTGGCCTGTGTTTGCAAAGAAGAATGAGGGAGATCCTCAGCTGCTGTCACCCTGTCGACTTTAAGTGAAGTATGGCGGTAGCAGGTTCGCCTCTGCTCTTTAACCTTGGCAGGGCTGTGAGGCTGGTCTTGGCAGAGAGGGGTGGACCACATCTGCTGCATGAGAAGTCAGTCTGAATAGTAGTCCTGAAAGTCCCGTCAGGGAATGTGGTTCTCTCTGCCACTGTTTTTATCTGTGTGGTTTATGTCGTTGCTTGTTAATAACTCATAGCACGTTTATCTACTATGTTTGGCAATTTTGAGAGTCTTTCTTCCTCTAGCAATTTCATGTCTGAATGATAGGTTATCATTCTTCTTTGGAGTCTTTTCATTAACTTCTTTTGTTGTACAGAGCAATATTTTCTCAGTTTCTCCCTTCCTGTGACCTTCTAATTTTGCCCCATGACAAAAAAATCAGACTATCACACCACTGGAATACCAAAACAAACATCACCGCTGGAAGTTTAAAACACTGTCCTTGCACCTTGGTATATTACGTTGAGGTGAACTGAAGTAACTCTCATTTGATGCCTCAAGTTGAAATAAATGTCAGTATTTTGCTCTTATGAAAGTGATATAGGAAGGCCTGTCTCTGTGTTTAAATAGATCTGCTCCAGGGATGAAGCTGCTCTCAGGAAACGTACCCTATCTCTTTCACAAAGAGTCCGAAATAAGAAGGGTTTATTTTCTTCGCTAAAAGGACTGGACACATTGGCAAGAAAAGGAAAAGAAAAGCGACCTTCCATAACTCAGGTAGATCTTATTTGCTGGGGATAGCATAGAAGGGCTTATTTCTGCTGGGGCTCATCCTGCGAGGTGCTGTTGGTGCACGGGGTAGGAGCCATCTGTCCATCAAAGTTGCATTCGCAGTTTCAGTAGACATGGCAGACTTACAATGGGAGCATCACTTGTGAAGAGTATATATCTAATTTTGGGTTTCTTTGTGATAAATAAGATTGGTGAATGAGAGTTTTTGACCCAGTGGGTTAGTTTATTATCAGCAGCATGAACCCATCAGGTTTGAATTTGTAACAAAACTTGCCTTCTGGCACATTGCAAACTGTTTCGAAGTAGGGTTTCTTTGGAGATAGCGTGTATTCACGGTCCTTAACACAGTGTTGTGCAGGCTTATGACTGGGACTCTGAAGTACTATTGCAATTTAACGTAGAGTAACACAGGTGAGTCTTCAAGGGAAAAAGAGGAGACACTGCTGCAAAGACAGCCGTCTTTGGCATGGCCTCTCAAAGCAACATGCCCTGCTTGGAAGTTCGTTTTAGCCAACAGAAGACTGCTGTCACGCAGGAGGCCAGCTGCAGGTGCAGACAGCTGACTAGTAAAGCCGTGCCAGTTTACACCAGCTGAAGGCTTGGCGCAGGTTTGATGTACTGGGGCAGGCTGGCCCCGGGGAGAGGGGTTGTGCTCGTGCGTGCCCCTGCTGAAGGGCTGCGTTACTGCTAATGGAGCTGCAGCATCTCACAGGGTCATTTTCTCTTTGTGAAACTAATGGCCCATGCATGCATTTAGTGTAAACCCCACACTTCGGGAGTCTGTATTTTCACAATGAAAACACAATTAAATGTGAAACAAAAGTAGCTGCCTTCTCCCTGACAAAAAGGTAAATAACAGCAGAGACACTTCCTTGATGGTGAGGCAGAAGGCGTAAAGGTGCACCCACACTCAGAACGTTACTATTTTCACTTTGTCATGTCTGCTGTTTGTTCATTAGTGACTTTGCTCCTGCTGTTCCGTGGCCCCTGTATTTTGATTTTATTAGTCAAAAATCTATGATCAGCACTTGAAAATTGGCTGTTATTGCATGTCTGGTAATCTGCTTGTGGAATATTTAAACAAGCCTATCTGTACGCATACTGCAATAGTCCCAGAGCTGATGCAACAGATTTAATGTTGCAAAATACACGTCAGGATTTTCTAGTCTAGTGGTTTGTATTTTTAATGGGTAAATATTTATCTATGTGTTACACTGGCATTAAGCTTCTTTGGGTGACTGTTACGCATTTTAGCATATCGATCGAGATGTGTTTACATGGTGAAATTGAATAAGAATAAACTCAAGTCTGTCTTACGAAAGAGGAAACTGAAGGAGAAATTTTCTCCAGGTCGTCCTTTTTATATAATTTCCCCTGTGCTCCCCAGCAGGTGAGGCCAGTCCGCGAGTCCTGCACCTCTATTTCTTTATTAATAAGAGCCCTGAGGGAAGGGATGTTATGCCCCTTAGCTCCGTTCCCAGTGGAGCTGATGCCTCACACTGTCTTAAGTGGGTAATACGTCCTCCCGTATGCTTTTTAGCCCGTGAAGGGGATTCTGCAGAGCTCAGGGATGGGGAATCTTATTTCTGTGGCAAGGAGAGGAGGCTCCTGCAGCCCTCTCAGCACTTTTCTGAGCGCGGAGGAGGGAGCCCTGGCGCAGTCGTGGAGGTGCCCCCGGCGCGTCCTCACCCTGCGTATTTCAAACCTCGCAACCAGCTGGCCCAAAAAAAAATGTTCATTTTCATCCACGAGCTGAGGTTCTTGATTTTTTTTTTTTTTTAATTAAAGATCCTACAATAAAATTAGGGGAATGTAAATGCTGAATGTTACATATGAATAACACCAGGCTATGACTCATACCCATAAAAGTGAGTAATTTTTAAGGGCATGGCTTGAAAACTGACCCATGGACCCAGAAGGCGGCTGAAAAGGGAGCCACGTCCTTGCTCAGACTTGTGTGTATGCACATAATTGTGTATCAAAATCAAAACAGGCCTGAGGCTGCCTTTCTTGTCATCTCCTTCAGCCCGCTGGGAAACTGGGTTAAGCAGAGAAGTGGAGCTCGCTTCTCTGCTCCTTGTGCTGCGATGTCTGTGTCAAACAATAGGTTAAAAATGTCTTGCTTTCTTGCATTTAATTAAAGTTCATTTGACTGGAGCTGGTATGTTTTAATCTGCTGTACCCTAGCTTCAAAATTAGATGGTATATTCTTGAACGTCATTGTGTCAGAGAAGTTTTTAATTTTATCTTAAGTTTAATTTTGTGGTATTAATAAAAAAAACGTTCAGAGTTTCTATGTTGGGAAGCTTTCGTAAACGTTAATGAAGTGTCTCAGTCTTTTACAAATCAGTTAATAAAACTGCACTGTAGCAGATGGGGGATGTCTAGGCTCACATTATCCTCAGTTTCTTAAATGCTTATCTGCTTTCTTGCGTCTAAATGATAAACTGTTTTGAGAAATCATAAACAATAAAATACTTTGATTACATCTGTGGGTGAGACAAGGAAGAGGAAGTTCAGAAGTGGTACCCTTTATTTGCATTGGCAGAAACTGAATTTCTTACGAAATTTTAAGAGAGAGTTTGTTGTTGTCTTGGATTATCCAAAAGGCTTTTGCTAGTACAAAAAAAAAAAAAAAAGAAAAGAAAAACCTAAACAAAAAAAGCTCAGATGTAAGTTTGATATTGTCCTGATTTGTTGACTGCAGAAGGAGTTAAAAAAATGCTATTTATATTTGCACTTCGGGAGAGTAATGTTATTACCTGCAAATGTCAACATCGTGTATAAACTGTCTAGATCTATCCGTGTGTTTATACAACCTTTATCACCAAAATATCTGATTGTATCCATAGCCATTTGTTGGATTTTTAAAAATTTATTTAATAAGCCTGACACCTTTGTGAGATACTTGTAGTTAAGCTTTCAAAACAGATGGGGAACGTAAGTCTCAGTTTCTGCTTTCATAACTTCCAAAGCAGACACAGTAGTCAGCTATTTTCATTACTTAGTAGTGTGGGGTTTGGGTCAAGTATGCCTTTAAAGCTAAGCTAAAAGTTTCCATCGATAGTGTCAAGCTAACTGCTAGGTTAGAAGAGATGAAAAACTATAGGGTAAGAAGTTTTAGGAAACAGCAACAATGATTTAAAAGAGTTCCTTTAAATCATTATGAGATTTGTAGCTGTACCTAACAGTATCCCGAAGGGTGAAATTATAACTTCAAGTGTAGTGCATGATTTGAAGGTAACTGACCTTAATCTTATTGCTAAACAGTAGATAGAAAAAACCAAGGACATGAATGCTTTTATACATATTTGAATGTGAGTGTGCATGTAGGCTGAAAGAGAAAACTTGCTTAAATTTTCTTTATAGAGGGAGATTTGTATTTCTTTAATACTACTTCTAGTCAGAATAAAGCGATAAAAAGTCCCAAGAGATCCCTGGGGTTACCAGGTTGATATATATTTATTCATTTAGTTTTCATTTTTATCTTTTCAGAGAATTTACCTAACACAGGTAAGAAATAAAGGGGTTTATTTGTTTAACCTATTTATTTATCTGTAATATTTTTAATAGATTTTTGATTCAGCTGGAGGACATGGATTTGCTGGTGTCCAGAATTCAGCCAACTCTACTGAGGTAAGACATGCCTGTCCTCATTCTGCACCATCTTGTTTTTAAATTCCTGAATATATGTCACTAAGTGTATGATGAGGCTGGTTCAGAAACCCCACAGAGGTTCATAAAATGCAGTTAGTGTTAGATGGCAGGATTATATTTGCGGCTATTCAGCCTGGAGAAGAGAAGGCTTCGGGGACACCTTATTGCAGACTTTCAGTACTTAAAGGGGGCTTATAGGAAAGATGGTGGCAGACTTTTTAGCAGGGCCTCTTGCGACAGGACAAGGGGTAATGGTTTTAAACTAAAAGAGGGTAGATTTAGACTAGATATAAGGAAGAAATTTTTTACAAACACTAGAACAGGTTGCCCAGAGAGGTGGTAGATGCCCCGTCCCTGGAAACATTCAAGGTCAGGTGGGACGGGGCTCTGAGCAACCTGATCTAGTTGAAGATGTCCCTGCCCACGGCAGGGGCGTTGGACTAGATGATCTTTAAAGGTCCCTTCCAACCCAAACTATTCTATGATTCTATTATAATTCTGCTAATGAAACCACTTTAATGTAAGTTTCTGAACATGTACGGTAGCCTTTTTAAAAAAAAAAAAATTAATTAAAAAAAAATCCCTAGAAACGTCTTCACAACACAGTGTATATACACTGTCTGAGAGAGATTTGGAACTGAGCTTATCTGAAAGCATCCTTCACAGTATGGCAAAATCCAAGGTGTATTTTTCCCCTTTGCCTACTTCAACAAAACCTGTTTATTTTGAGTATAAAGGCAAATAAAGTCTAATTAAAGTCTGTGGAGCGTACCAGCAGAGAAGTGTGAGTTAATATATAGTTGGAGATTGCCCAAGTAAAGGAAGAGGAAGCGGCATCCCCTGAACTGCATTACTTAGTAAATAGCTGCAGCTGATTTTCTCTGATGCCCAGGAGGAGGAGAGCTGCTGCTCGCCCCTGCCTGGCGTGAGTCATGGTCCTTCTCAGCTTCCACAGCCTCCCTGGGATAGCGTCACCGTCCCACAGTCTGGAAGCAAAGCAGGATGCTCCAAAATCCATAATCACATACATATAGGACCACTGAGTTTTGTCTGTGTACTGCGGGGCTTACACAGAATCCTTCTCCCTCGGTAGGCTTGAGCAGGCTCCAAATGAAAAATTCAAATTAAGTCTTAGGCACAGGGTTTCTGGACTTTGTTTTCTGTATGGTACAGCTGGATTTCTTTAATGCCAACATGTGCCAGACTCAAAGGAGTATTTGTCTTCCCATCTACCCCCTGTCCCTTTTCCTCCTTTCTTCCCTGAACTATGTATTTCCCATATGCAGTTTAAAACTTGAAAGAAGACTTTAAAAAATCATGCTACAATACTGTTCCCTTTCAGCTGAGTTTGTGTACCAGGTAATAGACAAAAAGTCAAAATCTGCATTTAAAATGAAATATTGCTCTTGAAAATGATTAACTATAATGAAAAGCTGTAATGAATCTCGTGAGGAAGATTGGGACAAAGTTCGTAATTTCTCATAGATTTTCATGTTTTTTTGTATTGTTATGTGCTACGTGGTTTATATTCTCATCAAGTGCATTCATTTAATGGCTAGGTAAGAAAGAAATATATAATTATGCAGAAGTTATACCACTGAGAGAGGCATCTCCCACTGACAGCAGCTAATCCTATAATGCTGTTTTTGCCTCCTGAAAGTATCTTCACATTTTGTCTGTTCTTTGAAGAAGTATATTGAAACACCTGAATTCCCTTAGTTACTTGACCACTTGCTTGTTACGTCCTGGGGTGTGAAAGTATTTAAACCAAATCACGCCTCTCTTTTCAAAATAAATTATAATTATGAGGGATTTCTGGGTGAAATGATCTCCTGTAGAGAACACTTACACATTCCTCCAGAATGTACCATTGGGTGTGGTGTGAGATGCCATCCATTTCCCACCTCAGAGACAGCAAACACAATTCGTTCCTGTCTGATCCTGTTAAAACATGGAAAGGTTTGGTCCTTCCTAAACCTGAGAAGAGGCGAAACCTCTTGGGTGCACCCCCTGAAGGTTTCTCCCGAAGGGCTGTGATGCCAGTCCCTTGGTTTAGGGCCGACCCCCTTGGGGTTGGGAGGTCGACGGTGCTGCCTTGTGCAACGGGGTCTGCTGTGGGTCTGCTGTCCTCTGGCATAATAAGTGCCTTTGCTCTTCCAGAACCCTTTCGAGGAGACAGAGAAAGGTTTTGAAGGTGCCAGGGAGCAGGCAGAATGAAGTCCTCTCCCTTTGGTGCCGTGTCGGGGAAGGGACAAGGTCTGGCTTCTTGACCCAGCTCTCACAACAGGGTTTATGTGTTCTCCATAGCTGCTGGATAAAAGCAGCCTGCTCCGAATTCGGGCAGGGACTTGCAGCCCCGCTCCCCAGGTAGAGGGGACTGGCGTGGGGGCAATGTCGCTGCAGATTTTGGGCCAAGCTTTTACAGAGTTTAGCAGGGCTGTGTGTTTCAAGACTGAAAAAATCCACACCAGTTTAGATGCTGAAATAGAGCTCTGGAGCTCAACCTTATTTCTAGAAAAACATTATTATTATTATCTCAACCTTATTTCTAAAACCTTTTTTTTAATGGGAATTAAATATAGCGTGGGCGTTTTTAAGATCTTGACATTTTGATGAATCATACGACAACTCAGAAATGATTCATCGTAACTCTGAAAACCGTTACTTTGGCATCAGCCCAGTTTCATTGGCTGATTTCAGATGAAAAACAAAACCAGCATGAAAACTTTTATAAAATGCTACCTGAGGAGTGCAGCGAATGACGAATAGTGAAGTCTGCCAGGGAGGCTGCATTTTCCCTGAAAAGGATGATAAAAACAGAGGCAAATAGCAGGGGGAAATTATGAAGTAACCTGTTGGTCCTGCAGCAGCCCTGTGGCACAACGTGTGACAGTCTGCAAATCCTGGCGCCTATTTCTGGAAAATTGGATGGGTTGTTATAACTTTATGTGGCAATGAATGAATGAACTATTGTAGAATTAGTCACTGCAGGCTTAACAGGGAAAAAAAAAAAAAATCTCTTTTCATGTCAGATTTTCTGAGATGGAAAATGTGGATGAAGCAACAGTACCTTGACTGCAGTTAAGGAACATAGTTGTGTTTAGTAACAGAGGCGAGTTTATCTCAAGGCGTATGCTTGAGCACCAGTGTACGTGGCAAGGAAAGGAAAGCATTTTACACTGGCTGCAGAACTTTCTGTCCTGTCTTAAAAGCTTCTGGAAGAAGGTGGCCTTAAACCTATTTCTCATCACCTTCATCCTCGTGTTTTGGGTTGGTTTTGTTTTTATCTCTGGCAATAGTGAGACTTAGTTCTCTTGGACAGATTTGAAGAACTACTGTTGCAGTGCAATAAACCATTGTGGTAGTTACAAATCTCTGAGCTGCTGGGAGCATCTCCCTACCTGAGGCAATGTAGCTTTGGCTTTCCCTGGAGGAAGCAGCTGGAGAATTCAGTCTGACTCATT